AACCCTAGGTTGTAAGCCATAAGCCTTTGAACCTTTGCTCACACTAACTCTCTAACTCATTAGGGACTCTGAAATCTCAAGATGGGTCCTAATTGCAAAATATTATTTCACTTAATATTATGGACACCAAATTTATATACTAAATTTTATGCCCAAACAGTGCAGCGTTCGAAATTTATCATTTTAAATAAGTTGGATTTATCTAAATATGGATATCAAAAATATATAATTTCTTTAAGGGAAGAAAACACAAATCAACAAACCCCAAAACTTCCGTCAGCAACTCTTCACCACCATCTACATTATTTAGACATCCTACCTGGTCAAGTTTCTTAATTGGCAGGAAATATTTTGAACATAGGGAGTACCCCACCACACATTCATGACGGACTAATTTGGGTTCTCATTGGCTAGAAATATTGCAACCTTTAGATTTGTCAATGATCTCTAGGAACACAATCATATATACTAGTTGCACTTTTGAGTGCCAATATGAATAATTTTTTCTTGATTCGCTTTTAATGGAAATTCAAAGTGTAGATTTTGACATTTTTTGTACGAACTCATGCGTTGTCAATCCTCAATTTGTGCAAAATGTCACAACCTAAACTTTGCTGAAAATTATTGAGATCCAATGCTTTTTTAATCTAGAGGCTAGTCTTGCTGAAATGAACAGTGTGAGGGTAAAATAAATTATGAGTTCTAACCCAAAAGTGACTTTTATTCCTTCAATAATTTTCCAAAATTATAAGCCGAGATTTAAAAAAAAAGGATTCTAATCTAATTTTTTTTGGGTAATTTTTTTTAAAAATAAAATAAAATTTATATAGATTATGCAAATTTCTTTTTATGAACATTCCAACTTCAAAATATTTAAATTTTGATAAATAATAAAAAATCATTAAACCTACCCTGCACAACATGAAAGTTATAGAAATCATAGGTTGAATGATATTCAAGATATTTGGTTGGGTTTTTGTTAATTTCCTTTTTGGAACAACATGGAAAACTCTTTTTACACATACGAAATCGATGAAACATAAAAGTCATGGAACACATGACTAGCATTTCTAAGAATATGAAACACATACCCATCCATCTAACACAAAAGTCATGGAACACATATGAATAGCGTTTCTAATAATATGCTTAATCTTTCCTTTTAATAAAATGCTTCAATCTTTTCTCGTAATAATATGCTTTAATGTTTAACCACTAAATAAAACACTGAATAAAAGATTAATAAATGATAATTAAAAGAGTGTATAAAAATCACAACAACTACCAATACAAATGATAATTTAAGCACTAGATAAAGATTAATAAAGAAAAACTGAAAGAATCGCATGAGAAAAGTGAAATTTATTTGGATGTTTGAACAAATACATGAAAGAGTGCAAAGTCGATACCAAGAACACTATACGCTATACCCTATCAAATCAGATAACATGAAAAACATAGAGCTAGAGAAAGAAAGGGTTACCAAAGTCAAAGTACGACACATTTGCTAATTGGAGAAACCTATCGTACACTTGTGTAAACTATAGTTCTTCTGCTTACAGCCAATGTACTCAAAAATTAAAATGTTATTTTTTACGAAGACAATTAAGATGATCTGTTTTTGTAAGCTAATTTTCTTTCTTCCTTGCACTGTGTAACCAGAGCTCCATCAACAATTTAATATGTACATCGGTGTACCATCGAATATGGCAAGTAATATGTACATATTGTGCCAATTAATAAGTTTATTTCATTAGATGTTATTATATACATCATTTGACCAATCATGTAAATGTATCAATGTGGTATAAAATGTGAACTCTCTAACGTTACCCATCTTATTAACTTATCTGAGCAATAAATTAATATATATATATATATATATTTTTTTTTGGCGATAAAAATTGGAATTTGTTTTTGTTTTTGCTTTTCATATGATGCTCCAATCTCTCTTATTAACGTCACCCACAGGGCCACACCTCTGTCAACCCCAACCCAATCTCTCTCGTTCCCACCCTTCCCTCTCTCTTCTTCTTCTTCACCGACTCTTTCTTCTTCTCTCTCCTTCTGTAAGCCTTTCGCCTCTGCTCGCTCACTCTCATACCCTCTCTCTCCGATAGCCACCACAACTGAAGTGGAGACGATGATGAGGGCGAAGACAACCACAAAATGGACTAAAGCCACATTTGGGAATGAGCGGTATTGGGGATAGTTAAGTCAACTTCGTGTTTTCTTTCTTTTTGTTATTAATTTTTCAGTTTGTTTTTTTTTCTTTGACCCATTCAGAAAACCAGCCTGGCTGAGTTATGAGTCACTAGTGACTAGTGAGGAAGACGTCGGGTTTGGGGTGGGATGTGTTGTGGGTTGGGAGGTGACGGGGAAGATGGCAGTAGGAAAGTGGTGGTGGGGTTGGGGCAAGGTTTGGAGAGACGTTGTCTTTTATTTAAAACAGATCACCCGCTTTTATTCACCAATTTCTTAATTAATTTTTTTTTTGGTTTATTTTTCAATGTCATGGTTTTGACTAAAAAAAGAAAAAAAAAAAAGTTAATTTTAGCCCAATTCTTATAGCGTATTTTAGTGAAAACCTAATAATTTGGGAAAAGTCTGGACGTAGAGCAGATATAAGTTTATGAGGAAGGTACGTAACCTATTGGTGAGGCCACTGGCGGAGCCAATGCGGGGCATTGGCATCCCTTGACCCCAATAACCTTGTCAAGTTATCCCTTTGAAAATTTTATGAACCCGTATAGCACCACTGCAACAGCAGCATTGCAGTAGCACGCTGCCTTGTAAACTTATCCCAATAACCTTTTACTCGTAAACTTATCCTTTTCTAAACTTATCGCTAAAAAAGTAAAAAAAATAATTTTTAATTAATACCTTTTTAATTTAACAAAGCTACGTTGTTTGCATAATGAGTTTTCTTACGTTGTTTGCATAATGAGTTTTCTGCATTGAAAGGAATTAGTAGCCTTGCAAACAAGTTGGCAAAGACAAAGAGGAACAGACAGTATCCCTTGGTGTAATTGCTAGTAAAATTAGCATTGATTTTAACTGTTGCGACTGTTTCAGTTGAAAGAGTTTTTTCAGTGATGAAAATTATGAAGAATCCACGTCTTAATAAGATAAGATGGATGATTAATGGTTGAATGATAGTTTGGTTGTGTACATTAAGAAAGATGTATTTGATTCTATTGATAATAATGTTGTGATAGGATGTTTCCAAAATATGAGAACATGTCGTGGACAATTATAAATGAAAGTATGATAGATTTTTTAAAGCTATTTTTTGACCCCATCGCTTTAAATTCCTGACTTCGCCATTGGGTGAGGCATGAAGTTTTGTGAGTGCAAAATGTCAAAAGCAATGCTAATGGATATCAAAATACATAGCTCATGTTATAATTCTAGAAAGGTTGGGCACTAGCATGCCAAATATACAACTGAAGAAAGATCAAAACGTGAGAAAGCATTGATTCAAACAAATTTTTTTATGAAACGGCAGCTAAATCTTTGGGATGTTGTCTACCCGATTTCATTTTCTTTCAATGATAATTTTTGCAATTTGTAATGCGCAGCTAACTCCTAGGCTTGTATAGAATTGTAAACTGGAATTTGTTCTCTCAATTGGCAGTATAATTGTAAACTGGAATTTGTTCTCTCAATTGGCAGATCCGAGCAACTCAACCAATAAAAAACTAAGAAAATAGAACAGAAACTGAAGCATCTCCGTGACAATAATGACAAAAGCCGACAGATCATGCAACATGGGTAGCAATTTCGTTGTCAGACGTTTGTCCAGCCAAGTAAAATTTTCTGTTTTCATTTGGAACACTTTCTTGCCAATTCCCAAGTTTGATAATGTTCAAGTTTGTTATCTTAGCTTGACTAGGAAGAGGTAATTCCTCATATATAGCATTTTGGTTGTTTAGTGTTGGAACTAAATTTGTGCACCGCCGTGAAGAATAATGCACAAATTCAAATAACTTGTAAAAGAACAAACAACCATGAGTTAGCCAAATACTAGGGAGTGTGCTGGTTAGAGGTTGTTCGATGGTTAAATTAGTAAGCAATATAAGACTCAAGTAGCAATGGGCAAGATAATGAGTATGCGATAATTGCGTTATCAGAGATAAACTCTAAAAGGTTGTACGAAGAATATGGCGGACAAGTTCGAATGTTATAATTAGACAAATTAGAACAAAATGGGATTGACCGAATCATATTTTGCATTATTTTAGTCACACCTAAAAAATTGCTCAACATTTTCAGTTACAAGCAATCCAAATTTAGAGCAAGACACTACATTATTCTTACCCAACACACTCTAACATATTCTCGTAATGTGTCTATGGTGGTTTACTGCATTGCCCTCCACAAGTCTACACCCATATATATATATATATATATATATATATATATTCATAACTCGACTTCGTTTCTTCTTATGATCAACAAGTTTTGTTTGTAAATATAACAATGTTATATGATATTACTAATTTAAGTAATATATGAGTTGGTGTACGATAAATTACTACTTTAGAATATAGAATTAAATGTTTAGATATTAACTTATGAGTACATAACTTGAATTGCTTTACCAAAATATATAGTTTGATGGCTCTTCTGCTTCAAGTTTCTTATTCTCGGCTTGATAATGAAGTACCTTTTTCGCTTCCTTTACAGTCAAGAAATAGTAAGGATAAGAAGCTTAAAAGGCACACAAAGTTGAAACCAAAAAGAAGATAAAGATACAAACCCCTGCAAGCAGCTTTTTTTTTCGGAAATATTTCTTAATGAGATGCCAATTCCCTGAGTCATCGTGAATGTGTCTCACACATTTAAAATCTAATGAAGGGCTAACAAATGGAAATATAATGCATGGAATGTACTGATACCATAATATATAGCAATTTTTTTCCCTTTTATAACTGGAAATTCTAGTCATGTATGCTTGTTGCTTGAACAAGAAATACAAATATATGAATCGGTGTCATGTGCTAGTTTAAATCTTGCTTGCAATGTAAAGAAATTTTTTTTCCAGATGGAAATTATAAATTTCTATGTTTATGAATTTAAACAAGGGAATTGGTCAATTTATAAATTCTTACTTTTACCCAAATTCTAAGTTTATTTCTTTTATCCAAACATAGTATTAGTTACTTAATATGCAAATAAACACACACTTCACCCATCATCCCATAATAAAAACAGTTTATTTTTGAAGATTATGGTTCAAAACAAAACACATGCCGAGTGAAGGAAAATTCCAATAAAATTATGGATGAAAAAAAAGAAAAAAAAGAAGACAAGATTAAACAGGAAATCATAATGTGATGGTCAGGTGGGCTGGGTACTCTTCCGCTTTCTTACTGTAGATAATATCGTTTGTCAAAAAAAAAAAAAAACACTATTTAACCCACTAGAGCCAAGAAAAATCCCACCTCATCCAAATTCGATTGCCCCCACCCCAAGTTTAACTAATGACATAAAAAAAAAACCCCACTAGCACGTTTGTCAAAAAATCCTTAATTTGAAGTTGGGTGCAATATAGGCTCTGTAAATTAACCCTAGAAAGGTAACATCTGGTAAAATTTTAGGCGGGAAAACCCTTGAAATACACAACATTTCACCCCCCAAAACATTCACTGCCCACACCGCACCTCTCCCTCCTCTCCTCCCTCTCCCTCTCTCTCGCAACGTGTCTTCGTCCGTCAGGTATGGCCGGGGGTCGCCGGAGACGGGCGGCGAACGACGTCGTCGAAGAAGAAACCCGATCGCCGAAAAAAGACGAACAAGTCGGGGTTTTGGACGAAGACGAGGACGAAGATCCTCTGAAAGCCACGGTCGCGAGGCTACGCAGACGATGGGAACTGGCCTCCGTCCTCAACTTCTTGATCGTAAGATCCTATTTTGTTGGTTTGGTTTCGTATTTTAATTTTTTTAGGATATAATTTTGTTTTATTTTTTCTTAGTAATATTATTGTTGTTTTTGGTAGGTTTTTGAGCCAGTGATTGGGAAGGCTGCTAGATTATCAGCTGAAGAAATCGAGATGGGTTTGATGAACCCGAACTCACTTGCTCAGCTTCACATTGCTATGTTGAAGGTGTTTTATCTTTTTATCTTCTTTGTTTGTTTTGGGGCGAGAAATTGCATCTAGTGGTTTATTTTGATTTGCTTACTATCGAATTTTTGTTCGAAAAGATTTCTGCTGGATTGTATTAGGTCATGGGTTGGTTTACTGTGATATACTTATGGTAATTATACGATTTGATTCCTAATTTATATGTTGCTGCATAGTTTCTGTTTAGTAGTGCTGTTTTCCAAAGCTTAACTTAAATTCTAAGTTGAACGGCGCCATATTATTTCTTTCAAGGGTTTGTGGCTGATTTTGTTTACCCAATTTAAATATCTTAGGTGATTCTTTCTCTGTTTAGAGTATGACTGTTGAACGAATAGTCGGGTTGGGGGAAGACATATTTGAAGTCCGGTTTTATTAGTTGTGGAGATTTTTTGATTAAGAAACAAACATAATGGTCTTTGTAAACTGGTAGGAACACGTCAATTTCAGAAGTCATAAAGGGAAACAACTTGATTTGTTTTCAGCATCTGAAATCCATGCATATGCAAACTATATCACTCTGTTTATTTTCTCTTCTTTTCCAATGTGATCAGCTTCTTCTCACTACGTCGATGACCTGTTTTTTTGCCAGGGGATACCACCTGTAAGTAAAACATTGGATGGCTTGGAAGATGCGTGGGTGACTGTGCTTTGTAAGAAACTTGCTCCTTGGTGGCCATGGGTGAGTTGTTCTAAACTTTGGTAGTTTTACTGCTTTTACACCCTTTTGTTATATAGTGTGTGTATAACCTACAGGGATATATCTTCTGTTCATTCAGGTTGCTGAAGGGGAAATTCCGCTACTGGCAGCTAAAGGGTATTGACAACGTGTTCATTTCCCTGTATTTAATGATCTGATTTCATGTTTTAAATAGACTACCATCTTTATCATTGTGCTGTTTGTGCAGAGAGGAGATATCACACTACAAGGAACTTGATCCAACAAAACGTTTACTACTCTTAAAAGCACTCTGTGAACTCCGAGCTAAAGTAATAAGTCATTTTTTTATGTAATTGTTTTTTATGTGTAGGTAGTTTAACATGCTTTTTAACCATTTGATCACCTAAGTTTACTTTTACAATTGTGTTGTTTCTGCTTGTTGATATAAATTCCTTTTGTTTCCAGCAAGATGATGTATTGGCTTATATTAATGTTAATCTGAAACAAGGAACTGAGGTTTCTTTCTTCCGCAAAGATAAGATAGGAGGAGATCGAAACGGAACTACCTATTGGTAATCTATTGATATGCTATGAACTTATGTCTTCGATGAACGATTGGCTGTAATACTAGTTACTACATTCATGACAGGTATGAAGGAAATGCAACTGTTGGCCATAGGTTATACAAGGATGTAATTGTCCTTGAGCCGAAGGCAAAAGCTAGGGGAAAAGGAAACCTGCCAAGTATTAGTTTTCAGTGGGAGACACTGGCAACCAATCTCGAGGAATTTCATAAAGTTCTTGTAAGCAAAATTCTTATTTATTCCGAGATTAGAATCCATATTAATTTGTTGGTGGAACTCTTGTTAACTGAGTATTCTCATTCGTTATATGAGTACTTTTGATAACATTTTGTTTTCATAAATAAAATTCTTCCTTTGCTGTAATGGTAGGATGAATTCTCATCAAGCAAAGTTGCCACCAAAGTTGCTATTGCTAAGACTATTGAATCCGATGTTATTCCTGCTCTTGAGAAACTTCAGCAGGTAAATTTTTGCAATCCTTCGTTGGCTGTTAATTATAAGACTTGGGGTGCCATCATTAGCAGTGAACCTTATTTGATAGCTTATGCTTGCACAGTCGTTTGTTATTGATACTAAAAACGGTTGTGTTCTACAGAAGAAAGAAAAGGAACTAAGAAAGAAACAAAGGCTAGAAAAGCAACTGAATGATTCGAGAAATTCTTATGCTGCTGGAACCATTCGTACCACTCGCACCCGTAGAGCTGTCAGCTACACATTTGGTATGATGCAAATTTATTTGGTTTAGCCTCTCCCCAGCATGTGAAGCAGTCATGGTTGAATTTTGATATCCTTATAGATCTAAAGTCGGTTGTTATATGTAACTGGGTCACTGTTCTACTCTAACTGATTGTTGTTAATACGATGTCTGAGAATTAGAGAATTTTCAGGGTATGCTTTGAACTTGTGAACTGATATGTTAATTTAATTATGTTGTCATCCATGGTAATGAGTTTATTCCGGATGAATGATGGTACCACCCTCTACTTCCTTGTATTCAGATTTTTTACCATTACAATCTAATAGAGATTTTGTTTGAATAACACGCAGATGAGTATGATCGGGCCATTCATGATGCTATAAAAGCAAAGTAAGTGCCATGCTTGCTTTCTTGAAAAATGATTTCGTCAGCATATGAAGGTTACTACTGAAAGGATGTTGCAGTTCTGGAGTTATGCAACACCTTTCAGAATGTTCTTTCTTGTCCATTTGTCACTCAATTTGTTCTTGAATCTTTACACTTTATTGGGGTTCCTGCTTGTAACTGTATCTACTAGTTTGTTTCCACATTATATCGCTTATCTCTAACGACTGTCAAGTCTATTTGTGGTTCAGTAAGAAGAAAACTAGTGAAGAGAAAATGCAAGAAAACAAGCGTAGAAGAAATGGTGCCTCAGAGGGAAACTCAGAAGATGGTTCGGACAAAAAAGATGATTATATGAATGGTGACAACAATGATTCTGGCAAGAAGGATGAAACTGCAGGTAGTGACACTGCAAGCGACATGCTTGAAGAATTTTCTACTGATGACGATGATAAAAATTGGGGTGATCGTAGTGGCATGAAGGATGAAGACAACAGTGACCAGAGTGACTCGGGAAATTCTGAGATGGACAAGACCTGTGCTCAGACTGATGGTATCGCACAAAAACCTGTGGGCGTGCGCTGGAGTTCAAGACTAGCAGGAGACAGTAGCCATCTGGTCATGGACAACAGAAACTTGGTTACAAAGAATAGGTCCAGACAGAGACCTATCTGTAACTCTGCCCTTGATTCTGTTGTAATACCAGACTCCGACGATGAAAACTCGGAACACCAATATAGTGAAAGAGCAGTGCATGAAGAATCACCGGTTACTGTTCCGGAAGAGGTCAGTGAAAGCTAAAAGTACTCTGAAGCAAAACATAATATGCAAATCAGTACACAGTTTAAGGTGATTTTCCTCAATTTTGGTATTAGGGAGGAAATCTTTTTGGGAATATTTTGTTTGTAAATGCAGTAGGATGATGTAGTTTCTGCTAATTCCTTTGTTCAGATTTATCGCAAAATCTGTTCGAATGCGATTTAAGTCATCCTTGTCAATCAACTTAATTTATGCCAGATGATCATGATTATATCAAGAGATGTGATGCTATTTTCTAGATTTATGCACATTTTATGTTTACTCAAGTTATGCAGCAGTATTAGTTCTCTCATAAACGGACGTCCGTTCTTTTAAGACTATTGTATTGATATCAAGAGAAGTGTTGGAATTTAAACGTCTTCACCCAAGTCGGTCAAAGGCTCAGTATATGGAATGTAAATTCAGTGTGAATCGGGTGCAAATGAGATAAGGGTGAGGATTGAAGATCAAGAAGTATCAAAGAGTGAGAGCTTTCTTTTTTATTTGTCTTTCAAAAGAACGGAAAATTGGATGGTGATCTCAACCATGGATATAAGTTGGATAGATGAAGTGGAATAGTGTATTGGGTGTCTTGTGCGACTGATGAATGCCATTAGAGTTGAAGGAGAAATTTTATAGAATGACAATAAGGTCATCAATGCTTTATGGCATAAAAGGTTGGGGAGGTGGTGACCCTAAAAGCTACCAAGTCTACATGGCGTGCAGACCGAGTAACTAATGAGCTAACTATATCCTTTGGTTGATGCGGGACGTGCCAACTCGTCGGTCGAGGCGTAAAATTTGTTGATGTTGCGTTAAGCGCGCTGCTGACTTCTTGATCTTGCGACTGCGGCCGAGGAAGGAACATGCCTCGGCCTTCGGGTTCTAGAGCCTGAAGACAAGGTTGCTAGTTCTACGAAGTTCAATATCAAATTCGGTTTTCAATGTGCCGAATGTAGTAACTTGTAACACCTCATTTTGTCGAGATGGCTAATGAGATGACCTCTGCCAATAAGGATTCGAAAATCCTTCTCGACCGAGACTTGGATAGATAACCAGTCGACCTCAACGCAATGCTATTTATCCAAACTGAAGTGCACCGGGAACTGTTGATTTTACGGCAACAGTGCTGTTTATCCAAACTGAAGATGTCATCGGTTGCCTTCACAGTGTTGTTTATCCAAACTGAATGTGTTGGCAGAAAAAGAAAATAAAAAAAATCTCAAGATGTTTGAGAGATTTGCGTAGGGCAATTTGTGTGTTGAATTGGAGAAAGTTTTTTAAGTCGTCTGCCACTTGGTATTTATAGAGACCCGCATGCTCAAGTCGTGGAAACCAATACCAATTGCATTGTGACTCTGAGTCTTTATCTGTTGCTAACCCCATACCTTATCACATCAATCAAAACCTGTTGTCATCTTGAGAACCTGACCTTCCATCAAATTCGGCTTTCAAAGATTTATCCTGATGCAATCTTGTTTTGACTAGATTATTGGCAACATTCAATGTATATTGTTGTTTTGACCATATAGGAAAACAAAATAATATTCTTTCATTATCCCTTCAAGACCCATTTGATCATGCCATCCCATCATCCAAGACTCATCTGATCAAGCCAAGTGTTGATCTTTGCACGTTCTGTCAACAAACCCCAATTAATTCAAACTCTGTTGTTGTTGCTTCCATTAGAGGTAATGAGAATCTCATTTATCCCATCGTATAACTGTAAAGATGAATCTGATTGAAAGATAATTATTATGATAAAAATCATACTATTATCCCTCAACAATAACAAAACTATCTTCACTCTTCGATCGACGGTGTAGAAGCATGCTTACTCAACGGTCTCGATTACTCGAGTCAATGGTGTAAATTTGGGCCTAAACATTGCCCCCCAATTTCCTTGAACTTCAGCTCGTAAGCCGAATGTTTAAGGAAATTAACTGTTCGTAGCCAGCAACATTTTGTCATATTGCCGAAACAAAGTTTGTTCCTCGGCATTAAAATCACCTCCGTTCTACCACTGTTGTAAAACTGGGCCAAGGCCGAGAAGAATTGGGGTCGAGCAAATGATATGTTTTATATTGGCTCGGCATGATAATCAAACTTTGGCTGAGCTGGCCTGCCTATATACATATATATATAACATGTTTGCCTCGGCCTGTCTATTTATATATATATATATATATAAAACGAGCCTATGCTGAGTACCAGCTCGCCGAGTTCAGCATGTGTGATATATACATAGGCAGAGCACGGGATGGTCCTCAACTCAGTAGAACAACCTTTATTTAAACAAGCCTAGTGTGAATTGAACTACTAGGCCGTCAATCACGTAGCGTCTTCACTGTACTGCATGGGATGTTCCTCGGCCCCCTTTATTTTCTTAAGCATCGGCCTGCACGGCCGAACGGTGAAGAAAATAATTTATTCACTCTCCTTTTTTTTTTCGCCAAAGAAAATGAAAAGTGGCCGAACCATAATTAGGAGGAGGCCAACGATGCTTTGTTCCAAGCCGAGACCTATTTGTATTAAAATTTTCAAATTGATTTCGCTTTAGGCCGAATAAAGGATTTTCTCCAAATATTTGTACTTTGGTGAAAAAAATTTCATTTTCAACCGCCAAATGTGTTGAACAATTATTATGCCCCTTAGGCATAATTACTCTATTAATTTCGGCTTTTAACTCGAACAACTTAGCTGAATGGGATTTCGCCATATCGGCTTTATCGCCAATAACCATATCCACTGTCATGGTTTCAGCATCTAAGACCATGTCTTAGCCCTGTTCATCATTGGAGCACTCTTCTGACGAATAATTTTCGAAGCTGATTTGTGGCTCAGAAACTGGAACTTTTTCTTCTAGGCCTACCACAATTTCAGTCTCGACTAAAACAACAGGTGGCCTAGGTTCTTCTCCGGCCATCTAGACAATCTTTTTTGGCCGAATTTTAATTGTGGCCGAAGCAAAAAATTGCCCCCCAGCCTTTTGATCCAACCATTCTTGAAATGGAATTGATTTGAACCCAATAGGCGTTCTCTTATCGAGCCACTCATAATATCGAGCTCTATCTTCATTTAACCATTGATCTTGTAAGTTGTGATGAACCTTCACCTTTCTCATTTGAGAGAAAGATTTTTGCCTTTCTTCATTTGCTTCAATGATCCGGTCAAGGCTTTTTTGTTGCTCGACAATTTCCTTGAATAGGCGCCAAATCTCATCTTCTCTGAGATCTTGATTTATCATGTGAACTCCGTAGTTTTAGCACAAGTCCCACCGGGCGTGTCAAAATGTTGACCCTAAAAACTACCAAGCTTACGTGATGCGCAGGCCGAGTAACTAATGAGCTCACTACGTCCTTCGGTTGATACGGGGCGTGCCAACTCATCGGCCGAGTTCGGCTGAGGAGTAAAATTTGTTGATGTTGCGTTGAGCGCGCTACTAACTTCTTGATCTTGCGACTGCGGCCGAGGAAGGAACACGCCTCGCCCTTCGGGTTCTAAAGCTTGAAGACAAAGCTGCTAGTTTTGCGAAGTTCAATATCAAAATCGGCTTTCAATGTGCTGAATGTAGTAACTTGTAACACCTCACTTCGTCGAGATGACTAATGAGATGACCTCTGCCAATAAGGATTCAAAAATCCTTCTCAACCGAGACTTGGATAGATAACCAGTCGGCCTCGACGCAGTGCTGTTTATCCAAACTGAAAGTGCTCTGGGAACGGCTGATTCTACAGCAACAGTGATGTTTATCCAAACTAAAGATGTCACCGGTTGCCTTCACAGTGATGCTTATCCAAATTGAAGGTGTGTTGGCAGAAAAAGAAAATAAAAAAAATCTCAAGATGTTTGAGAGGTTTGCGCAGGGCAATTTGTGTGTTGAATTGGAGAGACCTTTTTTAGTCGTCTACCGCTTGGTATTTATAGAGACCCGCATGCTCAAGTCGTGGAAACCAATCCCAATTGCATTGTGACTCTAAGTCTTTATATGTTGCTAACCGCATACCTTATCACATTAATCAAAACTTGCTATCATCTTGAGAACCTGACCTTCCATCAAATTCGGCTTTCAAAGATTTATCCTGATGCAATCTTGTTTGGACTAAATTATTGACAACATTCAATGTATATTGTTGTTTTGACCATGTAGGAAAACAAAATAATATTCTTTCATTATCCCTTCAAGACCCATCTGATCACGCCATCCCATCATCCAGGACTCATCTGATCATGCCAAGTGTTGATCTTTGCATGTTCTGTCAACAAACCCCAATTAATTCAAACTCTGTTGTTGTTGCTTCCATTAGAGGTAATGAGAATCTCATTTATCCCCTCGTATAACTATAAAGATGAATCATATTGAAAGATAATTATTATGATAAAAATCATATTATTATCCCTCAACAACAACAAAACTATCTTCACTCTTCGATCGATGGTGTAGAAGCATGCTTACTCAACGGTTTCGATTACTCAGGCCGATGGTGTAAATTTGGGCCCAAACAGGAGGTCACGTGCAAAAAATGAGGGTAGCGGATATGAGAATACTCCATTGGATGTTTGGGCAGACGAGAAATGACAAAATTAAGAACGAGGATATTCAAAGTAAACTAGGAGTTGCTCAATTGAAGGTAAGATGAGAGAAAACCAGTTAAGGTGATCTGGACATTTGAGCCGAAGACATACACATACTTTGGTTAGAATTATGAGACAAATGTTGAGTGAAAAAGGTAGTGTAAGATCTAGAAAGACTTAAACCAAAAAAAAAAAAAAAAAAAAAAAAAAACCTCTTAAGTGAAAACACAGTACTTGAAACTAACAAAAAACTTAACGCAAAACTGACAGCAATATAAATGTTCTCACTTTGTAAACTAAGGCTTTGTTGATTTTATTCTTGTTGTAACGTATTCATGTTGGCGAGTTATTGACTTGACGTGCACGCACGTATCCATATTCCGGAGTTATTGACTTGACGTGCACGCACGTATCCATATTCCGGAGTTATTGACTTGACGTGCACGGGCGTGTGCAATTGATGCAAAGACGATAGCAACATATATTGATGCTTTCAGGTGATCCCTCCGTGTTAAAACGTTGCAGGTTACAAGGTGTTTGACGAAAAGCATGACGACATCCGCAAAATTTGTATGCTCCTTCGAAAAGGAATCCTCTTCAAATCTCTTCCTCCTAATTCATCAAATTTGAAAATTCAGACCATTGAAATTTGATCCAACGACTACAAACAGAAACTTCCTTTAA